GAACCGTCCCTTTAAATCAGAACCATCCCTTTAAATGTGAACCATCCTGTTAAATCAGAACCATCCCTTTAAATGGGAACCGTCCCTTTAAATCAGAACCATCCCTTTAAATGTGAACCGTCCCGTTAAATCAGAACCATCCCTTTAAATGTGAACCGTCCCGTTAAATCAGAACCATCCCTTTAAATGGGAACCGTCCCGTTAAATCAGAACCATCCCTTTAAATGGGAACCGTCCCATTAAATGGGAACCGTTCCTTTAAATCAGAACCATCCCTTTAAATGGGAACCGTCCCATTAAATCCTGAACCGCCTCATTAATGGGAACCGTCCCTTTAAATCCTGAACCGCCTCATTAATGGGAACCGTCCCTTTAAATCCTTAACCGCCTCATTAATGGGAACCGTCCCTTTAAATCCTGAACCGCCTCATTAATGGGAACCGTCCCTTTAAATCCTTAACCGCCTCATTAATGGGATCCGTCCGTTTAAATCAGAACCATCCCTTTAAATCAGAACCATCCCTTTAAATGGAAACCGTCCCGTTAAATCAGAACCATCCCTTTAAATCAGAACCATCCCTTTAAATGTGAACCGTCCCGTTAAATCAGAACCATCCCTTTACAGGTGCTGGTCATAAAATTAGAATATCATGAAAAAGTAGATTGATTTCAGTAATTCCATTTAAAAAGTGAAACTTGTATATTATATTCATACATTACAAACAAACTCATATATTTCAGATGTTTATTTTGTTTAATTTTGATGATTACAAATGACAACAAATGAAAATCTCAAATTCATCATATCAGAAAATTAGAATATTGTGAAAAGGTTCAAAATTGATGGCCCCTGGTGCCACACTCTAATCAGCTAATTAACTCAAACCACCTGCAAAAGCCTTTAAATGGTCTTTCAGTCTAGTTCTATAGGCTACACAATCATGGGGAAGACTGCTGACTTGACAGTTGTCCAAAAGACGACCATCGACACCTTGCACAAGGAGGGCAAGACACAAAAGGTCATCGCTAAAGAGGCTGGCTGTTCACAGAGCTCAGTGTCCAAGCACATTAATAGAGAGGCGAAGGGAAGGAAAAGATGTGGTCGAAAAAAGTGTACAAGCAAGAGAGATAACCGCACCCTGGAGAGGATTGTGAAACAAAACCCATTCAAAAATGTGGGGGAGATTCACAAAGAGTGGACTGCAGCTGGAGTGAGTGCTTCAAGAACCACCACACACAGACGTATGAAAGACATGGGTTTCTGCTGTCGCATTCCTTGTGTCAAGCCACTCTTGAACCACAGACAGCGTCAGAAGCGTCTTGCCTGGGCTAAAGAGAAACAGGACTGGACTGCTGGTGAGTGGTCCAAAGTCATGTTCTCTGATGAAAGTAAATTTTGCATTTCCTTTGGAAATCAAGGTCCCAGAGTCTGGAGGAAAAGAAGAGAGGCACTTCATCCACGTTGCTTGAAGTCCAGTGTAAAGTTTCCACAGTCAGTGATGGTTTGGGGTGCCATGTCATCTGCTGGTGTTGGTCCATTGTGTTTTCTGAGGTCCAGGGTCAACGCAGCCACATACCAGGAAGTTTTAGAGCACTTCATGCTTCCTGCAGCTGACCAACTTTTTGGAGATGCAGATTTCATTTTCCAACAGGACTTGGCACCTGCACACAGTGCCAAAGCTACCAGTACCTGGTTGAAGGACCATGGTATCCCTGTTCTTAATTGGCCAGCAAACTCTCCTGACCTTAACCCCATAGAAAATCTATGGGGTATTGTGAAGAAGAAGATGCAATACACCAGACCCAACAATTCAGAAGAGCTAAAAGCCACTATTAGAGCAACCTGGGCTATCATAACACCTGAGCAGTGCCACAGACTGATCGACTCCATGCCACGCCGCATTGCTGCAGTAATACAGGCCAAAGGAGGCCCAACTAAATACTGAGTGCTGTACATGCTCATACTTTTCATGTTCATACTTTTCAGTTGGCCAACATTTCTATAAATCCTTTGTTTTTATTGGTCTTCAGTAATATTCTAATTTTCTGATATGATGAATTTGAGATTTTCATTTGTTGTCATTTGTAATCATCAAAATTAAACAAAATAAACATCTGAAATATATGAGTTTGTATGTAATGTATGAATATAATATACAAGTTTCACTTTTTAAATGGAATTACTGAAATCAATCTACTTTTTCATGATATTCTAATTTTATGACCAGCACCTGTAAATGTGAACCGTCCCTTTAAATGGGAACCATCCCTTTAAATGGGAACCGTCCCTTTAAATCAGAACCATCCCTTTAAATGGAAACCGTCCCTTTAAATGGGAACCGTTCCTTTAAATCAGAACCATCCCTTTAAATGGGAACCGTCCCTTTAAATCAGAACCATCCCTTTAAATGGGAACCATCCTGTTAAATCAGAACCATCCCTTTAAATGGGAACCGTCCCTTTAAATCAGAACCGTCTCTTTAAATGTGAACCATCCCTTTAAATGGGAACCGTCCCTTTAAATCAGAACCGTCCCTTTAAATCAGAACCATCCCTTTAAATGTGAACCATCCCTTTAAATGTGAACCATCCCTTCCAGTCCAGAGCTGAGGATATGTGAAGGTGCTGGTCGTTGTTTCTGATCCAGAGTCTCTGTGTCTCTGCCCTCAGACTCCAGCAGAGGGCGCCTCCATATCTGTTTACGCTGCCGCCTCCTCGGAGCTGGAAGGCCTGGGCGGCTGCTACCTCTACAACGGCCAGAGGATGCGCTCATCGGACCTGACCTACGACCCCAAGCTGCAGGCCAAGCTGTGGGCCAAGAGCTGCCAGCTCACGGGACTCCAGGACGACTGACCCCCGTCCCACCGTGTAGACCGGATCTGACCGCTGCGGGCCAGGTGGTCTGAAGCTCCGCCTCTAATTACGCACACTGTCCCTTTGAAATGGGAACCTGTCCCTTTAAATGGAGTTTTTAACTGCAACCGCTATTTTAGCGGGAATTGTGCCTTTAAGACTGAAACTGCCATTTAAACTGGAATCCATCTTTGTAACTTTATCAACGGCCTTAACACACGAGCAAAACCGCTGCCTTAATGGGAACCACCCTTTAACATTGGGGCTCATCCCTTTAAAAGGAACCGCCCCTTTAACATTGGAGCTCATCCCTTTAAAAGGAACCGCCCCTTTAACATTGGGGCTCATCCCTTTAAAAGGAACCATCCCTTTAACATTGGGGCTCATCCCTTTAAAAGGAACCATCCCTTTAACATTGGGGCTCATCCCTTTAAAAGGAACCGTCCCTTTAACATTGGGGCTCATCCCTTTAAAAGGAACCATCCCTTTAACATTGGAGCTCATCCCTTTAAAAGGAACCGCCCCTTTAACATTGGGGCTCATCCCTTTAAAAGGAACCGCCCCTTTAACATTGGAGCTCATCCCTTTAAAAGGAACCATCCCTTTAACATTGGAGCTCATCCCTTTAAAAGGAACCGCCCCTTTAACATTGGGGCTCATCCCTTTAAAAGGAACCGCCCCTTTAACATTGGAGCTCATCCCTTTAAAAGGAACCGCCCCTTTAACATTGGGGCTCATCCCTTTAAAAGGAACCATCCCTTTAACATTGGGGCTCATCCCTTTAAAAGGAACCATCCCTTTAACATTGGAGCTCATCCCTTTAAAAGGAACCATCCCTTTAACATTGGGGCTCATCCCTTTAAAAGGAACCATCCCTTTAACATTGGAGCTCATCCCTTTAAAAGGAACCGCCCCTTTAACATTGGGGCTCATCCCTTTAAAAGGAACCGTCCCTTTAACATTGGGGCTCATCCTTTTAAAAGGAACCATCCCTTTAACATTGGGGCTCATCCCTTTAAAAGGAACCATCCCTTTAACATTGGGGCTCATCCCTTTAAAAGGAACCATCCCTTTAACATTGGAGCTCATCCCTTTAAAAGGAACCGCCCCTTTAACATTGGGGCTCATCCCTTTAAAAGGAACCGTCCCTTTAACATTGGGGCTCATCCCTTTAAAAGGAACCGCCCCTTTAACATTGGGGCTCATCCCTTTAAAAGGAACCGCCCCTTTAACATTGGGGCTTATCCCTTTAAAAGGAACCGCCCCTTTAACATTGGGGCTCATCCCTTTAAAAGGAACCGCCCCTTTAACATTGGGGCTCATCCCTTTAAAAGGAACCATCCCTTTAACATTGGGGCTCATCCCTTTAAAAGGAACCGCCCCTTTAACATTGGGGCTCATCCCTTTAAAAGGAACCGCCCCTTTAACATTGGAGCTCATCCCTTTAAAAGGAACCATCCCTTTAACATTGGGGCTCATCCCTTTAAAAGGAACCATCCCTTTAACATTGGGGCTCATCCCTTTAAAAGGAACCATCCCTTTAACATTGGGGCTCATCCCTTTAAAAGGAACCGTCCCTTTAACATTGGGGCTCATCCCTTTAAAAGGAACCATCCCTTTAACATTGGAGCTCATCCCTTTAAAAGGAACCGCCCCTTTAACATTGGAGCTCATCCCTTTAAAAGGAACCGCCCCTTTAACATTGGGGCTCATCCCTTTAAAAGGAACCATCCCTTTAACATTGGGGCTCATCCCTTTAAAAGGAACCGCCCCTTTAACATTGGGGCTCATCCCTTTAAAAGGAACCGCCCCTTTAACATTGGGGCTCATCCCTTTAAAAGGAACCATCCCTTTAACATTGGAGCTCATCCCTTTAAAAGGAACCATCCCTTTAACATTGGAGCTCATCCCTTTAAAAGGAACCATCCCTTTAACATTGGAGCTCATCCCTTTAAAAGGAACCATCCCTTTAACATTGGGGCTCATCCCTTTAAAAGGAACCATCCCTTTAACATTGGGGCTCATCCCTTTAAAAGGAACCATCCCTTTAACATTGGGGCTCATCCCTTTAAAAGGAACCGCCCCTTTAACATTGGGGCTCATCCCTTTAAAAGGAACCGCCCCTTTAACATTGGGGCTCATCCCTTTAAAAGGAACCATCCCTTTAACATTGGAGCTCATCCCTTTAAAAGGAACCGCCCCTTTAACATTGGAGCTCATCCCTTTAAAAGGAACCATCCCTTTAACATTGGGGCTCATCCCTTTAAAAGGAACCATCCCTTTAACATTGGGGCTCATCCCTTTAAAAGGAACCATCCCTTTAACATTGGGGCTCATCCCTTTAAAAGGAACCATCCCTTTAACATTGGAGCTCATCCCTTTAAAAGGAACCGCCCCTTTAACATTGGGGCTCATCCCTTTAAAAGGAACCGCCCCTTTAACATTGGGGCTCATCCCTTTAAAAGGAACCATCCCTTTAACATTGGGGCTCATCCCTTTAAAAGGAACCATCCCTTTAACATTGGGGCTCATCCCTTTAAAAGGAACCATCCCTTTAACATTGGGGCTCATCCCTTTAAAAGGAACCGCCCCTTTAACATTGGGGCTCATCCCTTTAAAAGGAACCGCCCCTTTAACATTGGGGCTCATCCCTTTAAAAGGAACCATCCCTTTAACATTGGGGCTCATCCCTTTAAAAGGAACCACCCATTTAACATTGGGGCTCATCCCTTTAAAAGGAACCGCCCATTTAACATTGGGGCTAAGCCTTTAAAACAGAACCGCCCCTTTAATTAAAACCACCCCTTTAAAGGGAACCTGTTCCTTTAAAAGGAACCATCTTTTTAACATGGGAACCGTCCCTTTAATGGTACCTGGACTGAAGGGTTAGCACCTTATCGAAGCCACTCTCCTTTGCTAATCAACTCGCAGTTTACGATTATCTCTACGAATTAGATCTTCTGCAGGAGGAAGGAGATGGTTTCCAGAGAACGTCCGATTATCTGAATGTTCTTTAAATAATCTAAATATTTTTGATCGGTTCATTAAACAAACCATGTTTAACGAGTTCAGTTTGATCAGGATTGATGGACGAATAAAGCAGAGTATCATCAGCATGCTGTGGTAATAAAAATGTTCCTTTGATTAGAAAAGTTTCTAATGGAATAAAAAGATTGGTGTTTAAAATGAGTTTTATTTCTACCGCATTATTTGCTTTTCCTGCTCAGATCAAACATTTATTGGAAGAAACTTGTTTTTTTTTTAAGCTGTTTTTCCAAGTTCATTGGAATTCACTGGTATAAAAATAAATAAAATGTTTTTATGCAAAGAAATTAAATATTTTAAAGTGTTTAAATCTGCATCACTCAGACAGGAAGTCCTTATATGGCAGTCAGCTGAGGCTGCTGCTCTACGCTGACCTCTACTGGTGGAAGTTTAGAAGACAGAAATAAACATTTCAACCTTTATTATCAGAAAAAAACACACCTGCTTTGTGTATTTCTACATTTACACACCATTCAGTCAGAGGAACAGCTGCGGGTCAGGAACCAGAACTGTGGTTGATGCATGGGCGTAGGTTTGCATAGGGACCATGGGGACATGTCCCTACCAACATTTAGAAGCGTCCTAATTGTCCCTGCCAATAATGGGATGTGAGCAACATGTTGCTAATTTCCAGCAGTAGTTGTTGCAGCTTCTTTTCCTCTGGCAGCTCCTCTGCCTGCTCTCTCCTGTCCCTTTCATGTAGCAGCGCATGGAACTGTGCTGCGCTCTTTAACTCCACTCTCATTGGCTGTTCTGCCTTAGGTTCCGCCTTCTCTCTCTCTGATTGGCTGTTTTCTAGTCCAAGTGTGCTTGGAGCACAAAATTGAAAATATATTCACACTAGAATGCAGCGGTTACTACAATAAATATTAGGCTACAAAACGTCCCGATAAAAAAAAATTATATCATGTACACTAAAAAACAAAAACCTTTTTTTTTTTCTTTTATAAAACGAAATATTGTGAGTCAGCCAGGAGTTCTGAAGACTGCTGGAAAAAAGGGCAAATAAAGGCTGTAAGCATCAACATGTCTGATTCTTAGCCGCAGCCAACTAAAAAAGGAAATGTGAGGGTTTCCTTTTTAGCGATATTTAGTTGATATTACTGTTTTCATTTGTTGACGACCCTTTGAGGAAGTTCAAGTATAATTATTAGCAGGTGTTATTTCTCTTATAGAGGAAAACAATCTGCTGTTTTTCGTTTAAAAGCATAATTAGGGTTTCACATAATAATAGTAATTTAATTGACTATTTCTACTTCTAGAAATAGGATAAAGACAAGAACAAACCAACCTATTCTCATTATGAGTTCGTATGAAATCGTACGAAAAGCTATGCACCGTAATTTTGTACGTTTTGGACGTTTTTTTCGTCGCATGCGCATCTGACGCACCATTCACGAATATAGAATCTAAATTACAATTAGCCCTAACGCTGACCCTAACCCTAAGATATAAAACAGCAAGCAACGTAGTTAGAGACATGAATAAGTGCTGATTGCACCGTTTTTCCCATTTTTACGTCCGTCCGCGGATCTGCTTTTTTTTCTGTCTGCCAGCGCACTGATGTGGTTTTTTGAGGAACAACCTCCAAAACGTACGAAATTACGTTGCATAACTTTTCGTACGATTTCATACGCACTGATAATGAGAATAGGTTGAACAAACAGAGGAAGAATATTAACATTGATTTTATCTTACATAGATTTCCACACAGTCTATAAGTAAATCAGTTCAAACATCAATGTCTGGTAAAAATGCTGGAGACTGGCTGTTTATTTAGGATATTATTAAATTACAGATAAGATAGTGTTACATTGTCTTTTCTAATTGTTAGAAGTGATTTTAGATGTGAATAAACTTAGGCTCATTCTCAGTGTTTTGCTTTATAGATGATGCCACTAAAAAAGAAAACAGACATAAGGAGCTATTTAAACAGTCAGACAGTAGCAATATAGGACGATGATAAAAGGTTGAGTTTCATTTAATCCTTTACTATTAAAATGCACTTATACATTATATGATTATAGGAAACACAGATATCCAGTAATAATGGTGCAGGGCAGCTTGTAGGTGAAGCAGCTGCCCTTCAGGTGAAACTAAAATGTTTCCACATGAGGAGTTCTGGATGGAGAAAATTGACAGACAACAAAATGCTGCTTTTCTCTTTAAACAATGAATTCCTCTAATCAGTCCGGATGCTCACATCCAGCATAAAAAAGGGCATATGGCATAGCACCAATGACACCCGGCCAATAGTGTCCCTACCAGAGTTCAGATCAAACCTACGCCCTTGGGTTGATGGTTCTGTTAGAGGAGGTTCTGCTTGGTTCTGGAGGCTGGGTGTTGGCGGTGGAAAGTTCCAGGTGAGCGTCTGATTGTGGGGAATGTGTGCGGCGCCGAGCATGAAGCAGCATGCCACGGATTCCTGTTGCTTCATGCTGAGATGGGAGAACCGGAGCGCCGCGGGTGACGGGTCCAAACAGAACCAGAACCCCCCCTTAGCTAGCCGGTCTCTAGGAAACAGAAAGCCAGAAGCCTCCATCAGAGTCTGCTGCTCCCTGTGTTTCAGCCAGCTGAGCGGCAGTGTGCAGCGCCGGGGGCTCAGCCTAAGAAGTGTGTTTTGGGCCTGGGGGGCCTCCCCTGGGGTGCGTCCGGGTCCCTGAAGGAGGCCCTGTGGACGATCTGGGACGCCCTCAGGCGGATCTTCTGCAGGTTGGGCTTCATGCGGCTCAGCGAGGACCTCCTGCGCAGCGGTTTGACCCGGAGGCGGCCCTCGGCGCCCGCGGCCTCGCCGTCGATGTTCTGGAGGGCTTTGGAGAACCTCCAGCGGCCTCCCTCTGTAGGCTCCGCCCCCTCAGACACGGAGAGCTCGTAATCTCCTACGATGTCCCGGATGTCGGCGCCGGCGTCGTGGGTGAGGTACTGGCAGGCCTTCCTGCCGTTGTAGTCCCTGGCGTCCACGTCGGCGCCGTAGGCCCCCACCAGGAGCTTCACCACCTCCATGTGGCGGTGGATGGCGGCCAGGTGCAGCGGCGTGTAGCCCATGTTGGAGCGGACGTCCACGGCGAGGGGCAGCCGGTGCTGCTTGGCGAAGTTGACGATGAGCGCCATCATCTCGGGGTTGTTGTGCTTGGCGGCCCAGTGCAGGCAGGTGAAGCCGCTCACAAAGTCCTTCTTCAGAAGCAGGCCCGGCTCGGCGGCCAGCAGGCGCTGCAGGCCGGCCCACTCCCCGTCGGAGGCGCACAGCATCCACTCGTGCTCCAGGGGGTCAAGGGTCACCGCCAGCCGTTCCTCGTCCTGTGAGTCCAAGTCTGTCCTGGGGGCCTCGCCGGCGGCGGCGGAACGGAGCACCAGGCTCCTCCTGACGTCGGGAGAACGCCTCATCATCACCTGGAGGAAGTGCTCCCGGCTGGCCCTGGGACTGCAGCCGCCCTCGCTGCTGGACGCGTCCTCCTGGTCCTCTGTGGACAGGAGGCTCTGCTGAGAACCCCCTGGTTCCGCCTCCGCCGGGCCCTCAGGTTCCTGTGGTTCCACCGGGCCCTGGGGGCCCTCAGGTTCCACCTCAGGGCCCTGCGGCTCCTCAGGTCCAGGCAGGACGAAGACGCTCCCGTCCTGAGGGAGCGGTGACGCCTGGATCACTGTGATCTGTGGAACATCTCTGCGGCTCCTGGAGCCCCTCCTGGAGCCCCTCCTGAGCAGCTCCAGGCTCCCAGAGTTCCCCATGACGTCAGAGCGCTGTCCCCCCCCCTGAGCCAGCTGTCCCCCTTCCTCCGTCCTCGTCCGGCGGCTCTCTCCCTGCTCTGAAGGAACGCGGAACTTTCCTCCTGTCATTTCCGCAACTGGAGCCTCGCGCTGCCTGCTGCACCTGGGCGCGTGCGGCTGCGTCATCGCGGCAGCTCACCTGGTTGGTCCTGTCGGAGCGGAGCCTTTCCTCCCGCGCTCTGCCGCGCGCCTCCGAGCCTGGAGATGAAGGCGGCGGCTCGATCTAAGCGTTCTCTGCCTCCTAGCAACGCGGCGCTTCCGCTCTGACCAAATTAGGTGAAGGAGAGCTGCTGGGTATGGAGGACCAGTCCTGCCACGATTAGAAATACAGGAAGAAATGAAGGACTTAATCATTAATTATTTAAAATTGTTTGGAAAAGTAGCTAATAATATAAATCTGTGTGACATTTAACGTCAAACAGATTTCTGCCATACAGACATATATATTCAAGCAATTTTCTATTATTACTTTTATATTATTAATTAATATTAAGCCCTTCATTACTGTAATTATTTTTAATTATGGCTGGATTGGTCCTCCATACTCAATACAATCCTGCCATGATTAAAAATACATACAGAAATAAATGAAAGACTTAATATTTTATAATATTAAATCGCTTGAAAAAGTAGCTAATAAATATGGAGGACCAATGCTGCCATAATTGAAAATACTTTTTCAAGGAATTTGATATTAATAAAATCAATGTATTTCTTTACTTGTATTAAACTCTCTTCAACAATTGATGGATTATTCATCTAAAAATATATTCTTCTTGCATTTAAGCCAACTTATTTTATATCCTGTTATACATTTTCCTGAAATCTTTTGTTTTGTAAGAAAAGTAAGAATAAAGGTGGAAGATAAAATATATTTTTAGATGAATAATTGTAGGACGACTGTGGAGGACCAATCATGCCTTCATTAGAAATTCATACAGAAATAAATGGACTTAATAATTAATAATATAAAATTGCTTGAAAAAGTAATTTCCTTATATTTGATCAGTTGTTGAAGAAATATCAGATTTTTAATTATTTTGTCACATTTAATGTCACACAAATTCATATTTGCTACTTTTTCAAGGGATTTTATATCATTAATTATTAAGGCCTTCAATTCTTTTTGTATGTTTTTATTTATTTTGTATGTATTTTTAATGATGTCTGGATTGGTCCTCCATATTTAGAAGAACTACTGTAATTATTTAAGGATTACGCGTCAATAGATTAATTAATTCAGCAGAGGGAAAGTAATGACTTCAGGGTTAGGATTCACTGCATGGGAACAACTAGTGATGGTTAATGATGCATCTTAAAGGAAATACTGACACCTGCTGGACATTTATAGATACTACAGGCAACACATTGGACAGACTAAACTGATTTGATGACGTGTACTATGATAACTTTAAGTTCTTGTAGGTTATATTATATTATTTCATATCTATGTTTAAATTGAAAATATCTTTGATATTTTTAGATGCAGCTAATAAATAATGTAAACATTTAACGTGATAATTTAGCGGGAATCGTGGATGAGGATACTCGTGGAACAGGATTTTAAATCCTATTTTTAAAACAGTAGAAGTTTAAAATGAACTTTAATTCAGATAAGTTGAGTGATAGAAGAGAGCAACAATCTGAAGCTAACCTATGGGACTGCTAGCCGCTAATAACGGCCATTTATTGGGATGATAACATCTGAATCGGCTGCAAACACACTGAATCAAACTGAGAAGGAGGAGCCATCAGATGATGAACAGATTAGATGGTTTTTATTCTCCATCCTTACCTGCTCACAGCTGATTTCACCTAAATAGACACACTGATCTGCTTCCATTAAAGAAATAATCCCGTAATATTATCGCAGTCTAGCAGTGGAATATTGATCTACAAATGGAACAACAGAGAGGGCTTTCATTAAATCTGAAAACAGCCTGCCATACTTCAGAGTTCCCGCCCCTGCAGGCGTTATTAATAATTATTAATAATATACATGTTAATTATTATTTTTATTATTTTAATCAGATAAAAGTGCAGCAGAACTTAAACCCTCCTTCTTCCCCAGCAAACAGAAACCAGAACCGATCAGAATCAAAGTTTATTGTTCAGTTTATGGATCAGAACCAGAGGACGGCTCTCTGCTGCCCCCCTCTGGCTCACAGGGGGACTGCCTCGGTAACAGCTTAGCGGGGTGGGTGGGGCCACAGGGGAGGCCACCCATTGGTGGAGCCACGGGGTGGTCCAGATGTTCTCCTTTAGAACAGAACCCGTCCCGGTCCACTTGGTTCTTTCGATGACGTTGTTGGTTGCCGTGGGAACCGGTAGTCGAAGAACCGGGAGCTCAGGAAGACGGCGTCGCTATGGAAACCAGGTCTGGGTCGACGGAGGACGGCGGCGCCGGCTTCAGGGTCTGCAGCGCAGGAAGGACCTGGTCCATCCGCGTCACACCTGGAACACACAGAGGTCCGGTTAGTCCACGGGCCGGCCAGCAGGGGGCAGCGGGGGAACCGAGGTCCGATCCTCACCCAGAACCTCCAGGATCCGGGTCATCAGGCTGTGGAAGGCAGGGAAGAACTCCTGGTGCTGCTTTAACTTGGCCTGGATGCTGCCACGACAAAGCAGAACTTCAGAACCGGAGCAGGACTCCAGAACCGGAGCAGAACCTCGGTTCTACTCACCGCTGCTGGGCTGCAGAGTCGGGCCTGCAGGCGGTCCGGTACTGCCGGGCCCGGCGCCGCTCCTCCTCTCTGGCGGTGAAGTGGATTTTCTTCCTGAGACGGGTCGCCTCCTCCTCCAGCCGGGCCCGGTTCTGCTCCAGCAGCAGACACCTCCTCTGAAACAAAGCGGGACGGAACCAATGCCGTCAGGTCCGGTTCTGAAACTTCAGCGGGTCACCATCTGGTTCTGGTCCGCTCCATGGAGCCAGACGGCCACCAGGTACCAGAACACGGTGGTACCGAGTTAACGGGTCGAACCAGAACCCACAGATGATCAACCGGGCTTCTATTGGACCTGAGCAGAACCACAGGCGGGTCGCACCCGGTACCGAGTCCATAGAACCCTGCAGAACCCCAAAGGTCCAGGAAGGAAGGAAGGAAGGAAGGAAGGAAGGAAGGGAGGGAAGGAGGGAGGGAGGAAGGAAGGAAGGAAGGAAGGAAGGAAGGAAGGAAGGAAGGAAGGAAGGAAGGAAGGAAGGAAGGAAGGAAGGAAGGAAGGAAGGAAGGAAGGAAGGAAGGAAGGATCACCTCGGCCTCCTGCTTCT